TGCAAAAAGAGCAGCGGCGGCAGGAGGAGAATGACAAGCTGCGCCAGGAGTTTGCCCAACATGCCAACGCCTTCCACCAGTGGATCCAGGAGACCAGGTGCCAGCCCCACAGGGCCGGGGCAGAAGTCCCCGCTGTGCTTAGACTTGGGCAGCCTCTGGTCCCGAAGCCGAACCCTGGCCTCCAGCCCCAGGGCGTGCTTGGGCCAAGCCTGGAGGGTGGGCAGTCCCAATGGGATGTGGCTCCAGAGACCAGGTCGCAGGGTCCCCTGGCTTGGGTGGGACGGTCCAGGCCCAGGGTCAGCCCCAGCGGCGCCTTGGCCATAGGCAATGTGGGATCCAGCGCAGCGTGGGTGCTGACGTTCTGTGTTCTATTTTTTCTTTCCTGTGCCTTCTCCCTCGCCTCTGACCCTGCTGGTGCCCGGACGCCACCCTGTCTTGCTGTGTGGACCCTCCACAGGACATACCTCCTCGATGGGTTAATATCGTCTCCTTCTCTCTGGGGCCTATGTGGTGGTGTCTCGTGTGCTTGCCCTCTGCCCTCGTCCTGTGGTCTGGCTTGCCAAGGGTCCCAGGATGGGCCTTCCTGCCCCAGGCGGGCTGCACTCCCCAGTCCACCTCACCCTTACCCCACAGGGGCGTGCGCCTTGCCCCACAGCCTGGGTCCCTGACAGCCTGTGGCCTGGGGAGGGGAGCCACCCCATCCTTCTGACCCCCCTGTGGAGATGCCACACTTCTCTTCCCAGAGGGTATGTGATCACGACGGAGCCCAGAGCTGGAGTCCAAAGCCTTTGAGACTCTTGGGCCTGCCGGGCCTCTGGAGTTGTGTTGGACTTCTTTTCTGCCTCAGTTTCCCCTGTGTGTCCAAAGGGGGTGGGCAGGAAACTGATGATGGGGCTCAGGCTGATACAGGAAGTCCCCAGCTGAGAGGCAGGGCTGTGACCCCCCCCATCCAGCACACTCCCCTCCCAAGGCAGAGGCTGGGGGAAGTGGGGAGGGGGCCAAGAACCGTGTGCCCTAGTAGAAGGCACAAGTGCCCAGTGTTAAGAGAGATGGAAAGACGGGCATGGGAGGAGCCGCAAGAGGAGCAGGGCTTCCTGCCAGTACCAGCGGGGGCTGCTCTGTGAGGCCTGGATCCTTGGCCTGGGTGGGCCACTTGCATTCCCTGCCAAGTCTGCTGAGCAGGCCAGGGCTGGCGGGACTACAGAGGCTTGGACCGTGCTCCCGCGGCCCTGAAGGAGGCATGTCAGACCCACAAAGGAGGCCGGAGAGGAATGTGCCCGTGCCAGGCGGGTCGCAGGTGCTGCCAGCAGGGCAGGCGGGATGTGGGGTCACAGTCTCCGGCCTGAGCCTGTGGGTCACCTGAATGCCTGGCTCTCCTGCCTGTGGCTGTCTGCTGGTTTTGGCTCGTCTTCATGAGGTGCCGTGCTCCCCTCGCCTGTGGCTCCTCCCAACCCTGTCCCATCCTCCTGTCCCAATGTGCCTGCCCCAGTGGGCCATCGGGCCTGCCTCCTCCAGGTCCCGCCTGGTGCCACCTCGGGCCTCTGTGTGTCTGTCGCGGTGTGCTGCCCCCCCCCCCCGCCATGTATTCATCCAGTTTCTTTTCTTTGAATAGCATAGCGTATCGGCGGGTCATTCGTGTCTGTCAGTATGAAGTTGGGGATGATCTGTCTGGAAGGTTCTCCTCCTATTTTTCTTCCTCCCTCACTGTGGCTTTACACTGCACTCGTGACATGCCCAGGCGGCTCCACCTGACTAACTCGCCCTCGGCCGCTTGGGAAGGAAGGGTCTGTCTTCCCACTGCACCGCACCCAGCCTCCCACCCCCAGGTCTGGGGGCTTTTCCCTGGGGGACGTGGCGTGACTGTGAGTCTGACCTGCTGGGGTAGGAGGAAGCCAGGTGCCTTGCCTTACTGGAACACTTGAACCTGGGGAGACTGCAGAGCTAGCCCTAGCTCACAGGGTTTCCAGGGGGTAGGTTGGGGCACAGGTGGGTACAGGGGAGGCTGGGCTAGCCCCCACCAAGGCCATGCGCACTGTGTGAACTTGTATCTGCACGCGACCCTGACTTGTTTGCTTTCTGTTCACTAGACGCCTCTGTGACCTTGCACCAGAGCCCACCTGCTCTTAGAGCTTAGCCCTGGCAGGGAGGCCCTGGCCCTGTGTGTCACTGTGGAACCTGAGCCTGGGGCTTAGTCACAGCCTTGCCCTCCTTTGGGCATAGTTGGAACCACTTCCAGAACCCACCTCTGGTTGTGATCTAGCTCCCACGTGGCCCTGTCTGAAGGGTTGTGCTCTCCCTCGCCCTAGAACGTGGCTCCCCTCCTCAGGGCCCTGCCAGGAGACTCCAGGGTTCCCGTCTGCCGGGTGTCTCACCCTGTGGCTCCAGTGAAGACACTTAGACCTGCAGCCACTCTGTCCCCCTGGAGGAACTTAAGAGTCCGTTCCCAAGCCACCCACCTCGGCCTAGCTGAGCCGAGGAGACCTGAGGGGGTTCTGACTTGGGAGTGAGATGGGTGGGCAGACCCCAGAACAGTCAGGCTGCAGCTCCCCATCGAGTGGGAGAAGTGCTGTCTGCCGGGCTCCGTACAGATGGGGAGGTCCCTGGATGAGAGAAGCAGGGGCTGCCCAGCACTGTTCTGTCCGAGAGGGGAGGTTACGTCAGCGTGTGGTCTGTTGGTTCGGACCTTTTCCTCATTGCACCTCTGTGATTAGGTCCTGCATGGTAGAAGAGTCCGGAACTCTCGAATCTCAACTTGAAGCCACCAAAGTAAGTGTCCCTGGGGTTCCAGTCACCCAGTCGCCCCCAGCAGGCGCACCCTTTCCTTCCAGGTTGAAAGTCAGGAACCAGATGCGCTGGTGGGTTATGCCTTTGCCCTTGGCCTGAAGCAGCCTGGGGCTTGTGGTTTTCAAGGTCTTTGGGCGCGGTCGTACGCCAGTAGCCCCAGCTGCTTAGGCTGAGGCAGGAGGATCACTTCAGCCCAAGTCTGGGCAACACAGTGAGATCCCACTTCTACAAAAAATAAGTCTTTTAGTCAGGAACAGTGACTCACACCTATAATCCCAGCACTTTGGGAGGCGGAGGTGAGAGGATTGCCTGAGCCCAGTGGTTCAAGACCAGCCTGGGCAACTTGGTGAGGCCTCGTCTCTACAATAAATCAAAACATTAGCCTGGTGTGGTGGTGCACGCCTGTAGTTCCAGCTACTTGGAAGACTGAGGTGGAAGGATTACCTGAGCCCAGCAGGTCAAGGCTGTGGTGGCCGTGAGCTTGCCACAGCACTCCAGCCTGGGTGAGAGAGTGAGACGCCAACTCAAAAAAAAAGTCCTTCTGTGTGCTGAAGTTGTTTGGATTTCCTCAGCTTCATCTCGTCTCACTGTTCCCCTTCTGGAATGTTCCTGTTCTAGGAGGTGTCAGGCCAGGCTGGGAGCAAGATCCCGGGGAGGGCAGCAAATTGGCTGTGGGCTGTGGGGAAGGCAAGGGTCCACCCCAACATCTCGGCCCCCCCCACAGCGCAAGCATCAGGAGATCCGCGCCATGAGGAGCCAACTCAAGAAGATAGAGGACCTGGGCGCCGCCATGGAGGAGGCCCTCATTCTGGACAACAAGCACACAGAGCACAGCACAGTGGGACTGGCGCAGCAGTGGGACCAGCTGGACCAGCTGGGCATGCGCATGCAACACAACCTGGAGCAGCAGATCCAGGCTAGGTATCGCCTGGGTCCGGGCCCCCAGGGCAGGAGGGAGGGCTGGGCACCTGCCAGGGACCACCCAGGGTCCAGCAGTCGAGAAGGCCGGAGAGTAAGGGCAGGTCCCTGACTCTGCTCTTGCCTCCAGGAACACGACAGGCGTGACTGAGGAAGCCCTCAAGGAATTCAGCATGATGTTCAAGTGAGTATGGCTGCACCTGGCAGGGTGCTGAGCGCAGGGCTGTGTGTTGAGCCGCCCCCACTCTGTGCGGCAGGCACTTCGACAAGGACAAGTCCGGCAGGCTGAACCACCAGGAGTTCAAATCCTGCCTGCGCTCCCTGGGTTATGACCTGCCCATGGTGGAGGAAGGGGAGCCAGACCCCGAGTTCGAGGCAATCCTGGACACTGTGGATCCAAACAGGTGAGCTTCAGGGCAATGACAGAAGCAGCCTCTACCCTGAGCCCCCGCCTGTCATGCCGCTCAGACCCTTGTCCCCCTCCCCCCAGGGATGGCCATGTGTCCCTGCAAGAATACATGGCCTTCATGATCAGCCGTGAGACTGAGAATGTCAAGTCCAGCGAGGAGATCGAGAGCGCCTTCCGGGCCCTCAGCTCGGAGGGGAAGCAGTATGTGACCAAGGAGGAGCTCTACCAGGTACGGGCCTCGGGATGGGGAAAGGGGCTTCCTTTGGAAAGTGAAAGCCGGAGGGTGCACTTGAGTTAGTGGCAGGGTCTTCTTGGACCGCAGTCCCCATTTTCGAGCCCACCCTCGGAAAGTGAGTTTTCTCTCCCTGGGCAAATGGAATTCAGCGTGGGCCCAGACCTGTGTGTGTCCGTGAGGGGGCTGCAGACTGAGCCCAGCCTCCTCGAGGCCCGGGAGGCGGGGCTTTGAGGTGGGCGTGGCCGTCTCGCCCTCCAGAACCTGACCCGGGAACAAGCCGACTACTGCGTGTCCCACATGAAGCCCTACGTGGACGCCAAGGGCCGCGAGCTGCCCACCGCCTTCGACTACGTGGAGTTCACCCGCTCGCTCTTTGTGAACTGAGCCCCGTCATCGGCCGCCCCCCTCCCGCCCCGCGTGGCCTGCTGCATGTCCACTCCCCCTCGTGCTCTTAGAAGACGCCTCCAGACGGTGTGCTCCAGCGGAACCCTGCGCCTGCCTAGCTTGGGACGAGAATTAGGAGACGGTGCTTCCGTGACCCGCTTGTCAGTCACAGTCGCCGCGTCGCGTGGGGACCCAGATGCGTGTCTCGAAGCCAGCTGCCCTCATTCCGACGTCCAAAAACCGAAGCGGC